ATGATCATGGAATCAAATTTGCTTCTCAGAAAATCATTATCTTACCCAGAAGGGGGAGATAAAAGCAGGAACAAAGGATACACGAGACGGAAAGTCCTTCATTCCCCCGTGGTGGTCAATAGTGTCCTTGAATACTAGCCAGTAGTAGTCCTTATTTGGTGCTTAGGAATAGATCATCAGGAAACTGAACTCATCTCACCGTTTACCGATAATGGCTTCAGTGTAATTCTGCTTCTTAGTAATGGTATCAGCCGAGTAATGTCTTTGGTATTTTTCGTTTGTGTCTGTCGCGGTGACCACCAGACTGACTGATATTTACAATTGACATGCATTATATCATATAACCAGGCTAATATTATCAGAATGTCTGAAAGATATACAGCATATACCTGTGTTTAAATGTACACACACACTGTACAAGACTAGAGAAAGGTAACGCGGGAAACAACACTTATTAATAAAGTGACTGAGGGTGTCCTCGCAGATGGAAAAGGGTCAGGGCTATTAGCACAGAGTAGAATGCTGCCGAGGTGTTGAGGTGTGCAGCCCAACCAGCCGCTCGACGCCGCTGTGCAGATATTATAAGGGGACAAAGGGACACGATTATGCGTTACGGTAGAGGCACAAAAGTCTGCTGATCTCTCACACTGCGACAGTCGCTCTCATCACGAGATTATAGTCGTTAACAGCACAGGCCTCATGCCCTAAAGGAGGGCCAGAGCATGGGGAGACAGACAGTCCCATGAATGTTGAGACATAGCAACTCTGTCCTTTCTCTGTTTTTTCTTAGAATTTTGATCACTGCCACTGTGGCCTCTACCAACGCTGCCTCTTGCTTCAATGCGTTGTCATAGAGACGACTCAGTGTTTATGGAACATATGACGTCAGACCAGCTGGGTATATATTCTCGTGATTGTGACGTATTAGCGTAAATGGGATGGTGCCTGATAACTTAATTTGATTATTTTTTCTTCGATTATGAGTCTGATTACAGTGTCAGAAGCTATTGTCCTCCATTGTGTGAGGTTGTTATATATGGCAAAACGGTGCCAGGGCTCCTATTTGACATTCATAGAAAAGGATGAGAGAACGAAGGAATCTTAGGAAAGTTAAAAAAAGAAGACAAAATAAGGGGAATATGCAGGAAAACTATCAGAAAAATGCAATGCACAAATTATATTTTTCACAGTTTTAACTTTGTTGAAGATTTATGGCACAATATAAAATGTTCCAATGTCTTTCCTTAAACGTGCATATACTTGTACATGTGCTTACGTTACCTTTTACTTTGCAAGTGCGTATGTGGGTGTATGAATGACGGTAATACGTGTTTGTACAAACGTATATTTCTACGTAACAGAATAAACATCTGTATGACACCACGCAAGGAGAGAAAACATATGATTGATTATGATGTTCTCCGTGACCATATTAACTTAGAATCATTATGTCCATTAAGCCAGGTCAGAGGGAAAGGGAAGCCGATGGGCCTTTCG